TGTTGACGGACACTTAAGTTGCTTCCATGTCTTGGCTATTGTAAATACTGCCACTGTGAACATTTGAACCATGGTTTGGGAGAGAACTCACTTTTTGTGAACCTTAAAGTTACAACCTCAAGCTGATATAAGAAAGTAAACTGCAGTTCTCTCAATTTTTGGCATCTTAAAGGCCCCCAGAACCTTGGAGACCCATCCAGATCCAGGGTTCAAGAAGCTTACACCAACCGCTTGGTTAAAACTAAAGTAGACTTTCTGAAAGAACTTGGAAGCCAGTTGAAGTCAGCTCTCAGGTGGATGTCAGTGAGCCAGAGGGAAGAACATGAGAGTTACTGGGAAAAAAAGGTTTGTTTTTTTCTCACCCAGAATTCATATTCCTTCACAGTTCTTCTGGTCCAGTTGCATCCCGTTTCTCCTCCACGTTTCCTTTCTCTTTACTCTGCCTCAGTCCTTCCCACTGTCTCTATTTCTTTCCCTCTCTCTTGCTCTCCCCTTTGCCTTCTCTCTGCCTCAGCTCTTCACTGCTAGGTGTGTGACCAGGGTCCCCAGGGGACACATTTAGACTGTGGGATTCTGTACACTACCAGATGCAGTCACTTCTTAAGAGCTCCCGATTTGCTGTGCCTTTGAGAGAACCTCTGTCCTTGGTTCAGCTTCTGTAGCCGATCCAAGAAAGTTTAACTCTAAAGTTAGTCTCCAAACCCAGAATATTGATGAGAATGTGGTAAGATAAGAAAAGCCAGAGGAAGATTTGAAGAGGATTCTAATTAACCTCACTTTTCCTTATGACATTTTCATGAAACAATTCAGGTTAGCCTCATCTTTTGGTTCCAAAATCACAGATTTGACCTTTCACTGACAGGCTCAGTTATCTTGGTTCCTTGAACCTTACTTTCATCAGTGGCCCATTTTCCAGCCTTTGCTTTCTTTTCATTGTTATCGTCTGATATTCTGTGTCACACTTACTGAGCCTCGTTAAGAGTTCTATTTTTCCTTCTCTTTTCACATCATGAGTCTGGTGAATGTATTTTACTATCTCATAAGCTAACCAGTCTAGGAACAAACAGATCCTGCCATTTGAATTTTCCATTATTATGGAATATTAGCCATAAAAAGAATAAAATAATGCCATTTGCAGCAGTATGGATGGACCTAGAGATTATCATAGTAAATCAGACAGAGAAAGACAAATATCATATGACGTTGCTTATATGAAGAATATTAAAAAATGGTACAAATGAACTTATTTACAAAACAGAAATAGATTCACACAGGCATAGAAAACAGACTTACGGTGACCAAGGGGCAAGGGTGGGGAGGGGTAAATTAGGAGCTTGGGATTAACATATATATACTGCTATATATAAAATAGATAACCAACTAGGACCTACTATATAGCACAGGTATTTTGTAATTAGTATTTGGTAATAATATGTTGACAAAAAATTATTCACAACCTAAAAATTGAGTTATGTTTTATTTGGCGGGAATTTTTAGGACTTCAGTCCTGGGAGGCAGCATCTCAAGAAACCCTGAGAGAACTGCTCTGAGGAGGCGAGGGGAAGAGCCAGGTTATACAGAAGTTTTGCAACAAAGGGCAGGTAGTTGGGAACATCAAAATTATTGTTAATGGAACAAAACCAGATATCTCAAGTTAAGGAATTTGGTGCTTTTCTGTGTATGGGAAGATGCAAGAGTCGGGTTCCCTGAAATCCTTCCTCCGATATGCACCTCAGCTATCTGGCGCCAGTATGCGGTTTTCACATCCTGCGTTTCCTCAGGGCTCACAGTAGGGACTAGCTGCAGTCGGATGGCTTCTCGATGGCAGGTACTATTTCCTCCCTGAGTCTCCTCAGGGCTCATTAGTTTGCATGGGAGGGCTGCAATCACTGGTGACTGTGACGTCCTTTCTTTACTGATACAGCAGGAAATATTCCATTTCTCAAACCTGTAAGGGAAAAGAATCTGAAAAAAAGATATGCACATGTATAACCGAAATCAACTTTGCTGATTACCTGAAACCAATACAACATCGTAAATCAACTATACTTCAATTTTTTTTTAATTTTTCATTTATTTTTATTAGTTGGAGGCTAATTACTTTACAATACTGTAGTGGTTTTTGTCATACATTGACATGAATCAGCCATGGATTTACATGTATTCCCCATCCCGGTCCCCCCTCCCACCTCCCTCTCCACCCGATCCCTCTGGGTCTTCCCAGTGCACCAGGCCCGAGCACTTGTCTCATGCATCCAATCTGGGCTGGTGATCTGTTTCACCCGAGATAATATACATGTTTTGATGCTGTTCTCTTGAAACATCCCACCCTCACCTTCTCCCACAGAGTCCACAAGTCTGTTCTATACATCTGTGTCTCTTTTTCTGTTTTGCATATGGGGTTATCGTTACCATCTTTCTAAATTCCATATATATGTGTTACTATACTGTAGTGGTCTTTATCTTTCTGGCTTACTTCACTCTGTATAATGGGCTCCAGTTTCATCCATCTCATTAGAACTGATTCAAATGAATTCTTTTTAATGGCTGAGTAGTATTCCATGGTGTATATGTACCACATCTTCCTTATCCATTCGTCTGCTGATGGGCATCTAGGTTGCTTCCATGTCCTGGCTATTATAAACAGTGCTGCGATGAACATCGGGGTGCACGTGTCTCTTTCAGATCTGGTTTCCTCAGTGTGTATGCCCAGAAGTGGGATTGCTGGGTCATATGGCAGTTCTATTTCCAGTTTTTTAATAAATCTCCACACTGTTTTCCATAGCAGCTGTACTAGTTTGCATTCCCACCAACAGTGTAAGAGGGTTCCCTTTTCTCCACACCCTCTCCTCGAATAGCTAAAGTAATCTTGAGAAAGAAGAATGGAACTGGAGGAATCAACCTGCCTGACTTCAGACTATATTACAAAGCCACAGTCATCAAGACAGTATGGTACTGGCACAAAGACAGAAATATAGATCAATGGAAGAGAATAGAAAGCCCAGAGATAAATCCACGAACCTATGGTCATCTTATCTTCGACAAAGGAGGCAAGGATAAATAATGGAAAAAAGACAACCTCTTTAACAAGTGGTGCTGGGAAAACTAGTCAACCACCTGTAAAAGAATGAAACTAGAACACTTTCTAACACCATACACAAAAATAAACTCAAAATGGATTAAAGATCTAAATGTAAGACCAGAAACTATAAAACTCCTAGAGGAGAACATAGGCAAAACACTCTCCGACATACATCACAGCAGGATCCTCTATGACCCACATCCCAGAATATTAGAAACAAAAGCAAAAATAAACAAATGGGACCTAATGAAACTTAAAAGCTTTTGCACAACAAAGGAAACTCTAAGCAAGGTGAAAAGACAGCCCTTAGATTGGGAGAAAATAATAGCAAACGAAGCAACAAAGGATTAATCTCAAAAATATACAAGCAACTCCTCCAGCTCAACTCCAGAAAAATAAATGACCCAATCAAAAAATGGGCCAAAGAACTAAACAGACATTTCTCCAAGGAAGACATACAGATGGCAAAATAACACATGAAAAGATACTCAACATCACTCATTATCAGAGAAATGCAAATCAAAACCACAATGAGGTACCATTACACGCCAGTCAGGATGGCTGCTATCCAAAAGTCTACAAGCAGTATACTTCAATTTTTTTAAAATGAGATCTCCATTATGGATGAAGAGTGTGTGTGGAGTTTAGGAAGTATGTTTGTACTTCCTGACTGCATCTAGAAGTGACAGCCATAGAATTTCACATCTGGGGTCCGTCAGTCACTGCTGTCTACAAAGCAGGGGTCTGCAGTCAGGGAGTCCGGCCCTCTTCATCTTTCCAGCACATTTATGTTCTGGATCTCCATCCCAAACCAATGGGCGCTTTTCCCTTCGTGTTCATCCTTAGGCCACATAAGGTCTCTTCTCTCCAACCCCTACTTCTCCCCAGAACTCAGCTTTCTCCTGTGCTGGCTTGTGTAACAGATAAATGCAGCAGCTCCTATATCCTATCTTGGCTTTCTAAAACACTTTGTAACTTGCAATTCAATCCTATAGAGCAGTTTTCTCCAGTAAGAGTGACCGAAGAGGTAGGCTGAAGTCCATACACAAAGACCTTGAGTAATGTCCATCATGATGGGGTTTTGTATAAATCTTTCCCTGAAAGACCCAAGTATGAAGGAGGAAAGACCAAGCTGTGAGTATTCCTTTAAGAAACACAGAGATATACCGTATCATTAACTTGGTGAAATTAACCACACAAGGTTTCCTCTGATCATCTTGCTGCTGTTTGAAAGTCCCCTTGAACAGCTGTCTTGCATATGAGACAAAGGAAGTGTTGAGAAAAATTTGCACAACTTGAGAGTTGCGAGTTAAGTTTTATTTGGGACAAAATGAGAACTGCAGCCCAGGAGACAGCATTTCGGATAGCTCTGTGAAACTACTCTAAGGGGGCGAGGCAAGGAGCCAGGATATATAGGAGTTTTGCAACAAAGGGCAGGTAGTGGGAACATCAAAAGGTGGTTGTTAATTAAAGAAACCAGATAGGTCAGGTTAAGGAATTTAGTGCTTCTCTATGTATGGGTAGATGCATGAGTCTGGGCTTAGTGAAATCATTCCTTTGATGTGCACCTCATCTATCTGGGGCCAGTATTCTATGTTTTCACATCCTGATATTCCTCAAGACTCACCATAAGGAGTGGCTACAGTCTAATGGCTGCTAGATGACAGGCATTCTTTCCCTTCTTGAGTTTCCTCAGAGCTCACCGGTGGATGCTGATGACTGTGACATCCTTTGTTTACTGATATGCAAGGAAATATTTTCATTTCTCAAAATATTCCATTTCCCAGATGGTAACGGGAAGAGGGCTAACGATAGTCGCAGTGCTGTTTTGTAACTTTAACACAGGCTCTTCCACCAGCTGTGACACGGCTGCCACTGTGGTGGTCATCACTGATGCGTCTCTGTCTTTCGCTTTCAGCTCGGGGACCTGCTTCACAAGCTGCAGTTCGTCATGACCTATGTGGCTCCTTGGCAGATGGCTTGGGGCTCCTCCTTTCACGTGTTCGCTCAGCTCTTTGCAATTCCTCGTATCCTTTCTGCTCCTGTTTTCACCCCCTGGCTCAGATCCATATTTTACGGATGTGAGCTTTTCATTGAACCTTGGCAATAAAAAGGTTTTAAAGTCTTTAAGATTATATTTTAATGGGGACCTGGGGAGGCACTGTGGCTTCTTTTTAGGCACTTAGCCTTAAGAGATATTTCTTAATTTGGAACTCTTCCTGTTTCTTAATGCATATTCAGGAGTGACTTGATTTCTTCTGATTTTTCCATTTCCCATGACCGCATCTGCATTAAGATATCATGTCTTTTAAATCACCACTTAAATGATTTGGATTACTTGTGCAAAATAGTGCAAATTAATTCACTATTTATAAATATAATTGCTATATTATTATTGATTATATAACATTATATTAAAACATAGCTTGGTTATCATATACTTGAAGAATGTCCAAAGACCCAGAATTAGGCACAAACAGAATTACTCAAATATCTTTGAAGACCAAAAAAAAAATATTTATGGTTTTGTTTTACAATTGTCATTAGCCAAGGATCCTAGTTTTATCATTCATAGTTTCATTTGGTTTCCTTGTCTATTTTTAAGTGTTTCCATAATGAGAATTAGGTTTAATTTACTTCAAAACAATTTAACATGCTCTTACTAAAGATCACTTTGACACAGCTAAACTCTGTGTGTGTGTGTGTGTATTTGGAGAGAGGGAGGAAGAAAAATCAAGAATATTCTTGAAGACAGAGAGAGGAAATAAAATATTCTTAACTGAGGCCTAAAATTTGCCTTCCCTCAAGGACTTTTCTTCCTACTAAATTTATACATTTTTAATTTGTGTTTCCTGAGTTGTGGTCCAGGAACTTCCTCTATCAGAATCCTTAGAGGAGCTTATTAAATAAGCAGATTCCCGAGGTCAGCACATACCTTGAAAACCACATTAAAGGGGGAATCCTGAAACCTCCATCTTCACAAGACTCCCTGGGATTCTCATCCACTGATGTGTGTGAAGCGCAGTCTTGGCTGGCATCCACTGCGGGTGCTGTGAGCTTGTTTTAATGGCCACATGGAGCTTTCTTTCCTGAAGGTTACCTGAGGCTCCTCAAGACAGTTCTTAAGGAACCCCTGGGATCCCAACTTTGAGTACAGGGATAGAAATATACTTGGGATATTTGTTATCCCCTGGTAGCTCAGATGGTAAAGAATCTGCCTGCAGGGGGAAGACCTGGGTTTGATCCCTGGGTCAGGAAGATCCCCTGGAGAAGGGAATGGCTACCCACTCCAGTATTCTTGCCTAGAGAATCCCATAGACAAGGAGCCTGGTGGGCTACAGTCCATGGGACCCCAAAAAGCAACTACTACTGAGCAACTAATACACACATTTGTAAAGTGATAATATGTTCTATATTATTTTTTTAAAATGCTGTCCTTCTGACTCATTTGTTTTTTAAAAAAATGAATCATACCCAAAGCTGTCCTCAAAATGCACATTCTCCATATTCCTGTTCTTAGAACTTCACTGATATTTGTAAAGTTTTTCATGCTTATTTGGCAGAACAAGCTCAGGAAAAATGATTGCAAAAGTGTGAGCTTATATACCACCCCTTTATAACAACATTCGTTTTCTACAGCGGCAGTCATTTTAGTTTTTCTAAACAGAGTCCTTAAAGGACTCTAAAAACAAAGACAGTGAGATGGAAGAGTGAGGGGATTTTTATTTATTTCTGGTGCATGTCTCAGGTATCCTGTCTAGAATTTAAAGCCTGTTTGTTAAATGAAAAAGATGAAATGGATATAAATTTGCAGCTGAGGAGTTGGACTAAGAATTTAAAACTTGAAGAAGTGGTTACCAATTTTATCCTGAATTTGGTCTCACAGAGATCTGTAGCATTTCTTGTGGCTTCTTTCTTGTTCAATGAATTTAGTAATACTAATTACTCCTTGTAGTTCCATAGCTGAATTACGCCTGTTCTGGGAGCCATAACTTTCAATTACCTGACCTTTATGTTTGGGGTCACACACAAGCATGTCGCACCTGGCACTTGATAGTTCCTCTAAATACAAAGGTGACAGTGGCATCCATCTCAGATGGAGCACAGTGGGCATTAAATCTAAGTATGTTCATGATGGGCTTTCCTGGTGGCTCAAAGGTAAAGAATCTACCTGCCAATGTAGGAAACTCGTTTGATCCCCTGGTGGGGAAGATCCCCTGGAGAAGGAAATGGCAACCCACTCCAGTATTCTTGCCTAGAGAATCCCATGGACAGAGGGGCCTGGTGGGCTACAGTCCATGGGGTCGCAAAGAGCTGGACATGGCTTAGCGACTAAGCAACTACAGTGTTCCTGACGGATGGATTTGGTTTTCAGACACAACGAATCCTCATGCTTTGCTCCTAACACTGTTCCCATCAGTGACACCCACCTGCCTCTGCTCAGGTACAGACCCTTCGGTGATCGTGGAGCCTGACCACAGCTGGTGTGATGGCCTGCAAGAGCTTCAGCACCCGCCTCATCACCGAAAGACACCTTCCCATCCTGGGTCCATTGTAAAGGTGGTTTAGTCATTAAGTCATGCCCAACTCTTTTACAACCCATGGTCTGTAGCCCTCCAGGCTCCTCTGTCTGGGATTTCCCAGGCAAGAATACTGGATTTTTCCTTCTCTAGGGGATCTTCCCAGCCCAGAGATCGAACCCTGATCTCCTGCTTGGCAGGGGGATTCTTTACCACTGAGCCACCTGGGAAGCCCATTGTAAAGCTAACTATTTGCTATTTGCAGCCCAACATCATACCAGTCAGAATATAATGCAATCATTTAAAAAGCCAGATATATATGCCATCAGGATGAAGCTATCAGGTTCCTAAATGCCAGCCCTGGATCTTGACTAATTTTGAAATGTTAATGATTTTATCACTCTATTAGGAAGCTGTGGGTTCCATCCTGGTGTTGAGAAGGGACTAATTTGCTCCATTTTGAAACTGAATTAACTTTCAGGCCAGCAGGTCACTGTTTAGTAAATTGTTTTTCCAGTCCTATCATGTTTTCTCCCTCAGTCATCTGTGTTAGTTTCTGAGCTTGTAACCTCCAGGGAAGGATGAGAATGCTCACCCTTTTAATATATGCAGAGACCATGCAAGACCATTATCTTCAAATAATTAGACAGTTAGCCAGATTCGCTCTATTAAATGTGTGTATTGGAAAGACTGCTTTCTATTTGGCATGTCATCTTGAGCTTCCAATTATTTTTTTAAGTATTGATATTGACATTTTCATTTTAAATGCCCTCAAATAAACCTGAACCTTTTTAAGGAGTCTCCATCCTTAGCAACTGAACAACAACCATCTACCCCTTAGGCCCACCTCTTGGCTCTCAAAAAGGAAATATTTCTCAGTACTGCCTTAGTTGCTATAGTCACGATCTTCTGTATTTATATATATATATATATATATATATTTACTGATATATATTAAAAATATATATTTATAAATATATGTATATTTACTGATTGCCCCTAAATAAAATAAACTATGAGATCTTCTGCTCACTGCTGCCCTACTTCTGACTTACTATGCTTCATTTTCTTTCCTATCAAATTTGAACTTTCTTTATAAGCTAGCAATATTTTCCTCATTTCTTAATGTCTGGATAACTATTTCTGGTGTTTAAAAAATGGATAACATACTCTTTTATCTTTAGAAGCAAAAAGAATGGCAGTGCCAGCCTACTCAGCCTGGCCTCCGCTTGACTCTGTCCTGGTTCTTCTGCAGACTGCACAGGGCCCGCCGAACCTGCCAGGGTGGATGTGCCTCTCTTCTCCCCCTCCCCATAGCACCCCACTCCTCAGGAATCTCCCCTGTGACCCAACTCTGCTTTTTCAGCAGCTTTTCTCAGTGACATCTCCTGTGTAGCTCCTTTTACTTCTGATGACGGAGGTGTAGTAAATTGGTATGTTTTGTGGCAGAGGTATTTTTAAAAATTTTTAATTGTTGATACTTTGTTTAAAAATTTTTTTTAAATCTATTTCTTGGCTGTTCTGTGTCTGTGTTGCAGTGAGCGGTCTCACTAGTTGTGACACATGGGATTAGGTGCCTGGTGGCATGTGGGATCTTAGTTCCCCAACCAGGGATGGAACCCACCTCCGCTGTATTGGAAGGCAGATTCTTAAACGCTGGAACACCAGGGAAGTCCCATGTAGTAGAGATATTTAGAACTTTCCAGTGTTCAAATTAACAAGAAACTGATTCTGCGTTTGAACCTAGGTCAGAATAAAGGGAACTGGACTGAAATTGTAGCACAAGTGAGATCTTTTGATACCCAAACAATTCAACATGGTTATTAATGGCTGGTGTGTCATTTCACTCCTCAAGATGGAAATAAACAGCAAGTTGGAAGAAAAAAAAGACACAGTTACAAATGAAGAAAAACTTTTTGGGTTTTTTTTGCTATTTTTGTTTTCTTTTTTTTTTCCCCCCCATTTATTTTTATTAGTTGGAGGCTAATTACTTTACAATATTGAAGTGTTTTTTGCCATACACTGACATGAGTCAGCCATGGATTTACATGTGTTCCCCATCCCCATCCCCCCTCCCACCTCCCTACAAATGAAGAAAAACTTTTACATCTATAAAAATGCTCAGGGAAGTGCCTGTAGACAGACAAGGCTCACTCACTCCTCTGTGTTTATACATGAATGGGTCTCTGAAGGCCTGCATCACATAACTAAGTCCTGCCATTGATAACACGGGAAAGCCCTTCTATGCCCTGGTAGGTAATGAAACACAGAGCCCTCCCATCTGTGACAGGTGTGGAGGCATTTCTTACTATCCACTGGAACTTTATAAAGATGGACTAAAGAAATAAGACCTCCATTTGTGCAACAATGAGAAAAAGGCACACCTTCCCTTCCAGGTGGGAAAATCAACCTTACAGGAGATCAGATTTTTGTTTTTCCTGGCCCTGCCCTGTAGTATGCGGACCTTTGTTTCCTGACCAGGGATCGAACCTGAACCTCCTGTATTGAGAGTCTGGAGTCTTAACCACTGGGCGATCAGAGAAGCCCCATCCTTATAAATCAGATCAGACCTGCACTAGAATCAAGCAGGCCCTCAGCCTGAAGCACAAGGAATCAGGTGCATGTGTAAACCCTGGGCAGTCTGGCTCCCCACTGACTTCTGTCGCCTCTGCTCCACTGACTCTTCCCGTCAGGCCCCACCATCACCCCGAGGCACAGTGATGGGAGTGTGATCGACCGCTGGGGCAAGTTCTCCAATGACAGTGGGGAACTGGGGAGGGACTAGCCCTCTACACCTCCCCCAGATTTCCAGAAGTCAATTAGTTGAGCTTAACCCAGAAGTTAGAGCCATACTTATTTTAATTTTGGACAATTACATTTCTGATCAGAGTATGTAAAGTTGAGGCATGCCTACAAGTTCGAAACCCATACAGAGTACTAGGGAGATGACTTAGCTGGCAACACACTGTGGCTTTATGTGTACATGTTTTTAGCTCATAAACCAGATATGAGCTGGATTTTTTTCTTTTTTTAATTGAATTGATCTATTGGTGTTCAGTGTGTGATAAAAGACACAGATTTTTAAATAGTGGGAAAAGATTCTTTGAGGAACTGGGATGCTGTCTTCCCAAACAATGGTATTTATTTACTTTCAAAGTGGAATTTAATTTTAATTATTTATAAAGCTGCTTAGTACTTTAGTAAATGTGCCACAGCATGTCTGGTTCAGATAATGTTATCTCAGGAAAAAGCACTGTTCTTTTCAATTCTTAGATATTAAATCTTTGCCATGAATTGTGCTGAGACTGCTGGGAATTTTATGAGAATCATTTGGTTTTCACAGTGGTGATAAATGAGACCTAGCAGGATACTATTGAAAGTTTTACATTTCCAAAAGTGTACCTACAGTCGCCACAGGGATGCCCATCTTTCTTTCCTTGGTGAGAAAATGGCTTTCATATAAACTTGTTAAAATCTCAAATGTTATTTAGAAAAATAATAATGAACACACTTTTTGAGCCTTAACTCAAAATCCTCAGATTCTGCCATGCTTTTCTTTCAGACGTTTGCCACATCCATCGTTTCTACTCCATTGAGCCCATTTCTCGGGAGTGTCATTTTTATCACATCATATGTCAGGCCAGTGAAATTCTGGGAGAAAAACTACAAGTAAGATCCTAAAATCGTTACTGACTTGCTCTGCTAAGACTTGAGTTCAGGATGCTCCTCGACCTTTGTCTGTGGGAAGTCCAGGCATCAGGCTTTGTCCTCCTGTGGGGCAGCCCTAGCGACCCCACCCCGACCCTGCACCAGATCACCCACTCAGCTTCCGGGTTCTGGGCCAAGTCTACTGATGGCAAATTTGCAATCGGTACCAGTCTAGGTTTCACCGGTTGTGAAGGAAAATGAGTTATCACTATGCATTCTTTTTTTTTTTTTTTAAAAAAAAGCTTTTTACTTTGTGCTGGGGTTTAGCCAATTAACAATTTTGTGATAGTTTCAGGTGAACAACGAAGGGACCAGCTATACATATACATGTACCCATTCTCCAGCAAACTTCCTTCCCATCCAGGCTGCCACGTAACATTGAGCAGAGTTCCCTGTGCCATACAGTAGGTCCTTTTCAGTATCCATTTTAAATATAGCAGTCACTGCCCAGTCTTAACAGTTGCCCTTGACAGGTTGTCTTAGGAACCATGGTCTAGTCATTGGATGAGATTGCTTCTTGGGGGCTCATCTGCCTTCTGTGGGCCTTTGAAATATACATGCCATGCCTGTACCAGTGTGCATGCATCACAGCTCAGGACACCATTTTTTCCTGAGCACCTTTGAACTAGTAGAAGATGATGCATGTGCCTTGCTTGGCTATTTGTACTGGTCAGTCATAAGTTTCCTCAAGCAAACAGTGATGGAGCCAGAACTGTGATTTTTTTTTTTCCTTGGTTGTGCCACACGGCATGTGGGATCTTAGTTCCCTGATTAGGAATCAAACCCTTGTCTTCTGCATTGGAAGGCAGAGTCTTAACCACTGGAGCACCAGGGAAATCCCGCTAGGGCCATGATTTTGTCCCAAGTGGTGGAGAGTAGTGGTTCTGTGAGTAACTTTCAAGAGCCACTAATGATCTGTGCAGGGAGGACCTGAGAACAGCCAGAGGAGGGGGCAAGATGAGCCAGCCTGTCTCCAGCCGGGTTGTCTCCTTTGCCCTCATTTACAAGCCTTACCTGGGCTGTCCCATCCAAGCCCTAATCCATCTTCTGTAACGTATCTACATTGCCCGTGGCTCTGCCCGGTGACGCGAGTGAGAAAGAAACTGCTTGCCAGTGCGAGACAGAAGAGACACAGTTTCGATCCCTGGGTTGGGAAGATCCCTGGAGAAGGAAATGGCAACCCACTCCAGTATTTTGCGTGGTGAATCCCTTGGGCAGAGGAACCTGTCAGGCTTCCATAGGGTCGCACAGAGTCAGACACGACTGAAGCGACTTAGCACACTCGCACTGCCACTTTACAACGCGCCCGCGTGTGTCACAGAGGTCAGAGTTAGGTTAGGAGGTCCGTGCGGTTAGATGGTTTCTGTGAATGGAAACGCACCTCTTTCTGGGGCAGGCAGTCAGGTGTTATGATGAGAGCCCAGCGCGGGCCGCCAGCCTGCCAGGGCTCACACCGCACCTTCATCATCTGATGCGGGGGACCTCAGTCCTTTCTCTTCTCTTCTGTAAAATGGGGCCGAAGGAATAAGGCCTACTTCACAGCCTTGTGGGGGAATATGAGTCAATAGTCATAAAGCACTTCGAACACAGGGACTGCCACGTGGGCCTGCACCGGTGGGGCTCTTCTCTGACTGCCCTGCCTGGAACTCCTGTCCCTCCCGACTGCACTAACCATCTCTGGGGGCTCCCATTCAGGGGTCCTGGGGAGTTCAAACCAAACTGGAGCACCCCAAAGGTGAGTCAGTGCTGTGAGACCACCGGGAGGTGGAGAAGGCCGCTCCTGTGTCTGGCAGGTTCCGCAACTTCGAAAAGGTGGGCTGGTTGCTGTGAAGCCATCTTAAAACTTACACATAAGCAAGAGTCTCCTTTGCATTTGTCTAAATAGAGGCTGGGGCTTCCCAGGTAGCTCAGTGGTGAAAGAATTTCCCTGCAGTACAGGAGATGAAGGACATGTGGGTTCAATCCCGGGGTCAGGAAGGTCCCCTGGAGAAGGAAGTGGCAACCCACTCCAGTATTCGTGCCTGAAAAATCCCATGGACAGAGGAGCCTGGTGGGCTACAGTCCATTGGCTGGCAAAGAATTGGACATGACTAAGTGAGTATGCATGCAAAGAGATGCTGGGCATGTTTACAGAGTCAGAAGGAAAGAAAGCCAGCAGCACTGGCTTCTCTTTAAGCTCAAGGAGAAAACAATTTGGGGGACTTTTGTGGAGCTCGGAAAATCATACTTGCAGAAGGTACAAACACTTGAAAATAAGAAGTGTGATGATCTCATAGGCTTTTTAACTATTCAGGAAAGTGCACGATATTTTAAAGGTGATCTTTAACATAAAAGATTTCTTTTTGTCTCCTGTTCTCAGATAAGTTTGAGAACCAGCTTTTGGTAGGGGGCCAGGGAAGAATTTGATAAGCAAAAGGCATCCCCTTGAACTGGAGGGGGTTTTGTTTAGTCACTAAGTCATGTCCGATTCTCTGTGACCCCGTGGACTGCAGCACGCCAGGCTCCCCTGTCCTTCACTATCTCCTGGAGTTTGTTCATATTCCTGTCTGTCCATTGAGTCAGTGATGCTGTCTAACCATCTCATTCTCTACCCCCCTTTTTTTTTTTGCCTTCAGTCTTTCCCAGCATCAGGTCTTTCCCAGTGAGACTGTTTTTCACATTAGGTGGCCAAACTATTGGAGCTTCAGCTTTAGCATCAGTCCTAATGAATATTCAGGGTTGATTTCCTTTAGGATTGACTGGCTTCCCATAGCAAGGGAAATGGGGAAATCTTTGTGAGATGCTTTTATTGAGGGGAGTCATCCTAACACCTGTGCAATACAAGTTAAGTATTTTCATATTTAGTTTCCTCACTTCCAAGAGTCAGCCACCCATTCAGGATGATACATTGAGATATGAAGTGTAGGTTTGTGAAGGTTACTTAAAAATATGGGCTGCTCGAGTGTTTCCTTATTCAGCCACACAATGAGATGATGATGCTGTGACCCATTCTTTAGCTCAGGATAGCACTCTGTTATGTGGGGGGGGGGGGGGGGGCTTTCGTCGACTGTCCTGGGATGAGAAGGGAGCAGCAGGGTCTATAGGTATGTATGAGGACGTCCTGTCTTCATTAGGTCTCCCTGAAGGAGCCAAGTTGGAGAAAATATTCAGTCCAGCTGGTGGGGGGCAGGGAGAGATGCTGATGTAGAAGCCAGTCAGCCAAAAGTCTCTTGTCACCTTGTGTTAAGCCTCAGAATACAGAGCCCTGTGGTCATCTGCTTAAAAGATCGGTGATGGAATTTGGAACAGTGAGAGTGGTGGGAACCCAGAAAGGAAATGGCAGGAAATCTCATCTAGATCCCTGCCAGCCCTCTCGAAAGCTCATTCTCTGTATCTGAAACTGTTGGTTTTTATTTCAAGCACTAATGAGTCTTCTTATTCTTACTTGTGAGTGTCTCTGTAGCCGGTCCTATTACTTTCTTTTCAGTCTGATGCAGAGGAGCAGTGTTAGTGTAACTGATTGTTTACTAACTGTCCCAGCTAAGAGATACTCTCCTCTCTGTGTATCAGTGGGCGCAGTCTGCCGGTGGGCCCCAGGGTCGCCAGCCTCACCCTGGGGTGTGATGAAGGGCCCTCACCATCTCCCCACCTGGCTCCCTCTCCCTCTCCACCCCTGCTCCCTCACTTTCCAGTCCTCTGATTTTCCTCCCAGACCTTCTAAAGCTGCCTTTGGTTTCTGCAAGACTCCAGTGAACCCTGAACCCTAAGGAGCCAGCTTCTTTCTTCTTTTTTTTCTTTTTTGCTGTTCGTGGGATCTTCCATCCCCTACCAGGGATCAAAGCCCTGCCCCCTGCATTAGAAGGACAGAGTCCTAACCACTGGACTTCAGGGAAGTCCCCTGGGACCCTTTTCATTCTCCGTGGAAACAGTAAGTCACCAGCTACCTGGTGACTCCGGCCTGTCGGTTTGCCCCAGCCTGGTCTGTCTTGAGATCCGCAGAATCTGTACCGGAATGCTGCTCCTTGCTGGGGGCCGGTGACAAACATGTCCTCTGCCCACCTAACTAAGCTGCTCTCTGGTTGATTCCCCAGAAGCAGCACAGGTCACACTGTCCACGAAGTCAGTGGTGGCTCACTGCTGCCTGGCGAGAAGTCCCCCAGAGCCCCGCACTGATGGAAGTGCTCTGTGTCTGCCTCTTCCACTGTGGCGGCCCTCCACACTCACCACAGGGCTAATGTGGCTGCAGTTGAAATTCTATCGAGTTTTAATTAATTTAAATGTAAGTAGCTGCATGTGACCAGAGGCTGCTGTATTGGACAGCACAGATGCAGACCCACCTCACCTCAGTCCTTATCTTCCACAGTACTTTTTCATGCATCACACATTCACGTTTTTCCTTCCCAGCCCTCCCTCGGCTAAGCTCTTCTCATCCAGTGCTCTCCCCTCCCACACACCTCCACTTCCACCCACACAGATTCAAACGGCAGAGAATCATTCCACCTGCTGATGGATGAATGGAAGGTTCGGGAAGGACTTTTAGGATGAGAGGTACCAAAGCCATCACTTTTGGGAAACAAATTTGTTCTGTGGCTGTTGTGAAGTGAATCAAAGACTGGTGTGGGCTGATCCTCCTTCCAAGTTTGGACTCCTTCATTTTCGTCTTTGTGCCCCTGTGTTGGGCAGACAGAACAGCTCTGCACACAGTGGGTGTTCTATGACTATTTCTTAACTTAATGAAGTCCAGCAATATTATGTAAAAGAGAAAGGAAATCATAATCTGGATTTCATTTGCCACCAACACAATGTTCACTATTAAACTGTTCTTCACTAAGGTCTTTAAAATCTGTCTTGATGAGTTCTGCCTGGTGTCTCCATTTAATTTACAGGCAGTGATGGCAAATGCATTGTAATAATAGTGCCTGATGTTTATAAATCCTCTTATGTTAGAGTACTTTTAAAGAGCTTTAGAAGTACATATTGAT